TTTTTTTTTTCTATGAGGAAATCAAATAAGGGGAGGCGGTAAGCTGGGAGGAGGTGACGGGATTTAATGGGGCTGAGGTGGAGGTTAATTAATTCCTAATTCCTTCCCATAGGATTAGGGAATAAATTAAGGATTAAAGTCAAGAGGAATTCGGCCAAGAGAGGTGTGGCTTCAATTTTGTTTCCAACGGGTGGGGAAGTGGTTTAGGAAACAAATCCTGTAGGAAGTAAGGGAAGCATTGAATGAAAGCTGAGGAGGGAATTTTATTTCCCAAAATCCGATTTCTGATTTTAGGAAATAAAATTAAAACTTAGGAGTTGGGGAAATAAATATAATTAAAGCCAAGGTGGATGGGGCCGGCTGTAACCATAGGGAAAGAGGGTTTTAATGCTTTAATTGTGATTACTTAATTGGGGTGTGGAGTTTAGGAAAGAAATAATTAAACTTTATTTGAATTTGAAATTAAAATAAAATTCATTTAGTAACTTTCCAAAAATAGAATGATAAATTAGGAAAAAATTCAAATTTCAAATTAGTGGAATTTGAAAATTTGAAAACCGCCCAAGATTAAGTCACCCAAATTAAGTTTGAATTACATCATGAATGTGATTCAAAACTTTCCTAAAATAGCTTTCTAATTTAGGAAATCATTTGAAATTCAAAATTCGAATTTCAAAGGATGAAAATAATTTCCTAAAGGGTGGCCGGCGGTGGAGGAGCTAATGGGGGAAGGTGGCCGGCGGCTATGGGGAAATTTTTGTGGAGCTTGGTATGAAGGTTTGGCCGAGGGGTTGAGAGGGGAAGAGGAAAAAATATGAAAACGACGACGGGGAGAGATAAGAAGGAAGAAAATAAAAAACAAAGATAAAACGAAAGCTAGAAAATAAGAACCGCGAGCCTCAGACTCTTCCGAAGACTGACGGGTGATTCGTTGCCCTTCTCCAAGGGACTTCAAATCACGAGCCCGGACCCATCCTGCGGCTGGTGACATCTTCGATTCCTTCCCACAGGAATCTCACTCTCGTTCTCTCCCAAGAAGAACACAAAAGTGGAAAACACAAAATTTTTCATATCAAATTAACCATCCATTACAATAGATTAAGGCCTTATATATAGGCCATAACATGAGAAAATAAAAAATACAAAAATGCCCCTTGGGCCAAGACACTCACATAAAGTATCCTAGAGGTAAAAGAGGAAAATACATAAAACAAGAGCTAAAATTCAAAAAATAATACATAAATGAAAATTTAAATAATGCCCGTCGATTTACTAAGCCGCCTGTGATAGATGCGCCAAATCTTCGTACCGATGTCCGCCTCACCACCCCTTTATCTTCTTTTCCAAATTTGGTTCATAATTTCTAGCAGCCATATAACTCCTTCCAGTGCAAGACCGTTGTTAGCTCCCTTAACTTTGCCTAGAATTTCCAGTCTTCCTCAAGCTGGATGTTGGATAGAATTTGAAAATTGATGCACTAGAACCATACTAACAAAAATAACAAGAAAAGATAATAGCAATAAAGAGGGAGAAAGAGAATCTAGAGTAAGTGTTGACGTGTTTTTCTCGTGATGACTCAGCCCGAATCGAGTCAATTCAAATCCGTTCGGATTTGATCACGCTTGATCAACTTAAATGATTGTCGTCGAGCGTTAATTCACTCAAATCATACTTCAATTTAATAAAATTAAATTCAATTTCATCAAATTTAAATCAAATTGATTGAAATTGACCTAAATTGTTCAAATCAACCCAAAATCGGTTCAAATCAAACCCAATCAAATCTCGTCGAGCATTGCCGAACAAAGATTGACGCAATTTGGCGCCAATTAAAATTTACTTTCGCAAAATTGACTTGATTGGACCCAAATCGGCCCAAATCGGTTCGGGTCGAGTCCAATTCAGACCTCATTTCAACTCAATTGGGCTAATCATAGCCCAATTAACCTTTCCAAATGAGTTCTTGCATCCAAGGGTTGAGATATGACTTGATTTTCAAACTTTTCTGTCGTTTTCCAGTCAAATATTCTCATTTTAGCAGGCGCATGTAGCAGAGATCGTAGAAATCTCTTATCTTGCAGCAAATCCACTCGAATAGGCATGGCTTGCAATCACTCGAATAGAAATCTATTCTTTCCTCATGTCTTGTATTATGGATATCTCCAAAGTCCTAAGTACATCATGTTGCAAGTCCTTGAACTTAAAATCGAACTTTAAGTTTCTCTACATCATATCCCTTTTGTTGGAACTAGAAACCAACAAACAATAATCAATTCTTTCTTATACATGATGTTTGGGAGTAGCCTACAAGCTCCAAACGTCATGCTACATAAGCTTTTAGATCTTGGAAATAAATTCTAAATTTCTAAGTCATTCATTCCTCTTATGCATGAATGATTTGGAGCATCTTAATGCTCCAAATATTTCATTGAAT